TCAAAATTTTTATTCAAAATGCTTGGTTACATTAAAAATTTCATATTTAAGTTATATCAGGAAAAAGGGAAAGCAGCTTGATAGCTTTTTTTTTTAAATCATCCCCATTTTTACCAATATTCCTCTATTTCCTATGTAACATCTAGCAAACTATTCTTGAACTATTTATAATTTGTAAACGATTTTCAAATTAGGAAGAGAGAAAATTATATTGAATTTTTTGGTTTTTTATTCTTACAATAATTTATTAACTGAAAAATCATAAATTAAAAATTGACGTTTAGCACGAATCAAAAAAATAAAAAAAAAAGAAAGTGTTTTTTATCGCATTTGGAAGCAAAAAATTTACAGTTTAATATGTACCCTTATTCTTTAATACTGCATCGCCCCTAATTTTCAATTGTAACTGTTTATAAAATAATAGCATTTACTAAAAATATGTACATTATATAATGCAAAAAAAGATATTTATACGTATACAAATATACCAATGTACATTTATTGGTATATATGTAAATATCTATGTACACGAAGATATTATGAATAGATGCTATTTTCAATTAAAAAAATGATAAAATCTGTGTAGCAATCAGTGTTTAATGTGTGATTATATAGTGTGTATAAATATATATTTGAAAGGACCCTTGGTTTTAATTCAAATTTAACCACATACCACGTTCTAAATATCTAGTGTCTTTTCAATGTCAATATAATGAATTATTGCTAAAAAAACTGTGTTTCCTTTTGATATTTTGCAATAAATACATTGTATATATTTTTATATAGATTGTGTGCTCTATGAAGCGACTGCTACTTATGTACTTGATTTTGTTTAAATTTTCCGTACGCTTTATAGGCAATATTTTTTTTTAAATTCATTTCTTTTTCGTTTTTTGTTTCGGAAATCGCTTTTAAAAACTTTTATGAAGTATGCATATGCATATTGTTGCATTATGCATTTTATAATAAAATTTTTCAAAATTTTAAATATGAATTTTACATATGAATTTATTTCAAAACTGAATATGTAATAGTTAGCTTTTGCTATATTAAATTAAAATAATATGTTAATTTGCCTGTAATAAGAATTCAAATATCTTTCCCATTCACACTTTCGTAACAAGAGGAAAACACAAAAAAATCTGATGTGGTTAACACATAACCGACCACAATATATATTGTCTAGATTAGTAAAAGTATTTCAGAAGATTATGAAAATGCATTTTAAACACTTCTTCATAATTTTAAGGACATTAATAAGCTTTTAGTAAATTACCTAGAAAAATGTGAATTTGGATATTAGTAGAGTTTCATTTTATGCCGACCGGATTATACGAAAAGTTCGTCAGTAACTTCTGGTAACAAATATTAAAACCAAATATTAAATTTCCAGAAATTCTATCAATTCGTTCTGCAGATATCAATTAGTTCAGTAAACAAAAAATGTAAAATCGGCCCCCAGCTCAGTTTTCAAACCCTGATCTTCCCAAAAAATCATTGTTTTAAAACCTCGAATTTAAATATTAAATTTATATTTGGTCCGTAGTAAACGTCTAGTTGATGACACCTTATTTTTTTTAAAGGAAGACGCCTTACGCGGGGATTGCGCGTACGGTTAAATGAAGCTTATATATAGATTTTCGTGTCAATCTGTTAAATACTTTCTTCAAAATGATCAAAAATTTAAAACGGGCCCGCTAAAAATTCCAATTACCGAGGCCTGATATGTCCCAAAACTTGATCAATCCCTGCCGTAGTTGAAATAAACTTATATATAAAATTTCATCAAAATCGGTTCAGCCAAACTTGAGATACACACGTGCACACACAGACTGACTGGTTGCTAAAAATAGTTTATCTACACTTCCCTACTATAGAGAAGTGCCTTCCCATCGAAAACTCGATATGCAAAATTTGTTGCCATCACATAACCAATCTTATTGTATACAGAATGCGATCGGTAAAAAGAGGAAGGAGTGTCAAAATCGGTGAGTACAGTCTTTTTTAACATTCATTTTAGCATTTTTGTCCTTCGTTCAATTCTAAATTTCTTATTTTACTCTCCTGTATCTTCTAATCGTTCTTTTGCTGCTCACTATAAAATTAATAAATTTTCTTAAATATTTTGCAACAAAAATCTTATATTAAAAAATATACAATGAATGTATGTATCTTTAATTCTGAAATACTATAAATTGTGTTATGCAAGTTAAAGTAAGTACAAAATTGTCAAATTTTATATGTACATATATATATATGTATATCTATTCTTTCTTTGCTTTTTCATTTTATTTTGTTATTTTAATGAAAATATAAATTAAATTCCAATTATTTTTTATTTGTTTATAAAGAAACGTTTTATTGCAAGCCATTTCAGTATAACTTTTGTATAACTTTTACATTGTACGAAAAATAATAATAATATTAACAAAACTTGATTTTTCGTCCTTTTATATCAAAAAATATAAAATTTTACAAAAAAATTTTTTTGTATGCATACCAAAATGAAAATAAAAAAAAAAACAGTGAAGAACACAGAGAAATACAAACGAATTAAAAAGTTTTACAATATTTTCATACTAAACTTAGTGAAAGATACATACGTTAGTATGTCATATTAGAAAAATTAGAGAATGAATGATACGATTAGACAAATAGTGGAGAAAATTAAGAACATAAAACTTCTGGAGAATCTAAAGCAAAGTATATCTATAAACAAGTAGTTTGACTCTCCGTTTACATCACACTAATGCAATCACTCACCAATATTTGTATAGAAAAAATTCCCTTAGCTAAAAGAGTTAAGCAGTATACCTTCTTATTTTAATTTTTATACACATAAGAATTTTTGGGAGAGAGAAAAAGTACGCAATAGATGTCTACCTGTTTTTTTATAATGTATTTTTAAAAGCGGGAGTTATTTATTTTTTCGTATATAAAATATAGGAAAAATATTAAGAATTTTAAAAGCGGGAGTTTTATTTCTGGAACTTATTCCAGTACAAGGTGGCAGAAATGGTGTATCCATATTATAAAAGCGACGCGATTTAAAAACAAAATTTGACTATTAAAATAAAAAAAATTATAATTTTCATATTATATGCATATAATTTGAAAAAGACAAATAATATTAAAAAAAACGAGAAAAAATAGAGTTGACCTTGTCAACTCTGTGATACCCGTACGAATTGGTTATCCTATGTTCGAATAAATAAGCCATAACTGACTATGGAACAGACAATGACTTTAAATCGCCGTATTACCATATTAATTTATGCAAAATTTCAGTACTGTGTTTTTCAAAAAACTGTGTGTGCCAAACTACTATTGAAGTTGTATGGCAGCTACCGGAAAGAGCCAAAATATTTTAACGAATTTTTTCAAGCACATCGGCCCTACTAATATATTCACTTGTGTAAAATATCAATATTACAGCTTTTATAGTTTCTGAGATATAGTCAAATAAATTCTGAAGTTGTACGGCGGCTATCCGAACCGGTACCCCGATCATGTCCAATTTAAATAGGGTTCTGGCATTTACTACAGTAAATCATTTGTGAAAATTTGGTGAACTTAGCTCTATTAGTTTTTGAGTTATCGTTGGGACGGACGGACAGACGGACAGACCAAGCTAAATCAACTCAGAATTCGACGCTGATCAAAAACATACACTTGAGTCTATATCTAAGACCGTTATTTCTCAACGTTACAAACGGTAAGGCAAATTTAGTATACCCTTCGAACATACGTTCGTGCGGGTATAAAAAAGATTAGTAATTGCCATCACATTTATTAAATATATAAGCAATGAATTTTTTATTTTTATTTCAATTTTGTTTTAAAAATTTAAAACAAATATTTCTTATGAATATTTATTATGAATTTTTATTATAAATTGCTAAATTTTTATGCCTCGTCTACATTGCGGCTTGACGTGAAATCAGCTCGAAACTCAAGCTGCGTTTTTACTATGTTAGCTTAAATCATTATTAACATTTCACGTCAAGTAGGAGTTTTGAGTGAAGCCGGCTTTAGGTCAAGTAACGTGTATGTAGACAATAATAAGCTTGAAGCAGCCATGTAAATGGGTTACATACATATTACTACATCATATTGTGTACCTACCTTGAATAGGTATGTACCGTATAACAAAGTATGAAATTTATAACTATTACTTTCATACATTCGAATGTTTTTATCTAACTTTTATGAAATGAAAAAAAAAAATTTGTTATCAAAATAAAAATAACAAAATTTTTACCTAACCTAATTTAATTTTATTTCAGTTCAATGTTTCTGATACACTCGTTTGCTTACAATATTTTGTTTCTTTCTTGCATACATAACTCTTATTACCATCTATTTCTAAATAAAAAATGGAATATTAATAAAAATAAAAACTAACGGAATGGAACGAGCCGAATTACTTATTAATAGATATACTTTGATGTAAACAATCAAGTTAGATGTATAAATATAAAACAGAGCCGTAAAAATTACAAGCAATAACACAGGGATAAAAAAAGTGTAACCTAATATAATATTTGCAAATATTCTAATCGTTATAATATTCTTACTAATCCATATTAAGTAAAGCCATAGTGGAATAGTGACGAACTACATCAAAACAAACAAAATTTCAATGGATTATAAAAATATTTGTTTCCGAAATGTTTATTTGGTATTTACGTAAGTTATATTAATCGATAAATAAGTTCGAAAGTGATATTTAAAAGCAATGACTGTTATTTTATTTGCTTTTGAATTACTTATGTTACAATTAATCAATCACTTAAAAAATAACAAAAATCTATTGTTCCGAAATATTAGTGCATAATGCTTAAAACCATACATGATCCAATTGAAAAAAAATCTTAATGTTGGTAAAATGTGTAGTATATTTTAAAATAGCAAGATAGTAAATCTAATCCACAATGCTTTATAATTTTTAGATTAAGCAAATTTGATGAGTATTTAAAACTATAAGTAATTATTATTACCTGATTAAAGTCTAAAATTATTTTAGGAAACCTGAAAGTAGAAAAATTCAAAAGTTAAATTAATTACATACTTATTATAATTAGAAATAAATAATAAATTATTTAAACGTACAATAAAATAATTTGCACACAAACTACAAAAAAAAAAAAAATAATTTAAGAAAAAGATTGGTAAGAACATATTAATTACTCGTGTACGTAATATTAAATATTATATGTATGCACTTAGATTTTAAACTTAAAATCTAAAGAAAAAATTAAAAACCACTTAAGGATGTTGGAAGTTTGCCAGAATTTTTTTCCCTTATGTGAGAAAGATGAGAATTTTAAACTGTTTTCAAATTATGTATAAATTACTATTATTAATAAAATATTTCCATTTACACTTAATATAACGTTATAATTTTTGAAAAAATTGTCTTCAAATCTGAATTAATTTAGTACCATAAAATAAACCATTTTAATGGCTATAGAGTAAATTTGTTTTCTACTTCATACAAAGCGTAAACATGGAGAAATTTGCGTTCACAAGTTACCAGATTTTTATAAAACCTTAGAAATTTCAAACAACTAGTTTCAGATTAAGTACTCTTTCCCAAAATTCCCCTTTTTACCCAATTTGGTATAAACTTCGACTAATTAAAAATGGAGTCGATCAAACACACGGTTTGAAAAATAGCCATATTTCCCTTTAATAATTTAAGCTTGGAGGTTTTATTCATAAAATTTTAGACTTAAAATGAAAATCAATTGAAATAATTTTCTTATTACAGTAATATTTTTAATAAATTTATGCGAAATCTTAGAGTAATCGTTTTCTTATAAAAAATTTGAAGTAATATGGAGTTGAGCAGCATTGACTTTTAGTTTAGGTTTTTAGGTTAAAAAAAAAAGTAATATTGGTCTTTCATTTCTATTAATTACTGTTACTATATTTTTTGTTTATTTGATAGAAATTATAGTATTAAACAAAAAAAGAATCAAAAACTACCTGTTCTACGATCTACAAACAAATTTTGGCCAGCAAATTAAAATATGTCGATATCTTAGAACTGTCAAAGTTTTAAGCTAGTTCAAGATACAGAAAATTTACTGAAAAAAAGTTAAAATAACCGTTAATCTAGAGTTTTTTGGGATTCTGATATTCACTTATCCTTTTTACGATACAATAAATAATTTTTGAGAAAGTAGGAAAGTACTTTTATGAAATTTGCAAAGTACTTCTGATTTGGACTTTGAACAAAATTTCATTTTTATATATTACAGACAGACGAATATGGATAAAAAGACAAACAAAGTGAAATTAATAGGCTAATTTTGTCTAAAATTGTGTATGCAAATCACTTGCACTTCTTTTGTGACATATTTGTATTCCAACATGCTACTGAACTTCATAAACAATAAATTAGCAAATTTTAATTATCCTGATTTTTATAAATTGACTTTTTAATAAAAATAAAATAAATATATTTTAATTGAATAAGCAAATTACAGAGTTTTCCATTTTTAGTTTAAAACTATGAAAAATTTAAGACACATATATAAATACTTATAAATATATATACTTATATGTTGCGTATCATAAAGTACTAACCGAACGAAGTAAATAAAAGCATTTAAAAGGATATTCTTAAACATAATATTATGAAAATTTTGTGAGAAGGAAACTCAAAATAAATGTTTGTGGTAATATTAAAAACTATATTATGTATGTAAAATCTTAAAATGTTAGAAAATGTATCAATCATGCAATGTTTCATGTGAAAAAGTAATTGAAGGACGCTAAAAAATATTAATGATTTATTACGGTAAATAAAACGGGGCATTATTAGGGGCGCCTTTCAAAAAATCAGCAAAATAATGTAAAGGAAAAGGAGAGCTATTTTTCGCACATTATTTGTTAAAGTTTTTTCAGTTTGTGTAAATTTTACAATGAAAATTTATTAAATATCTAGGTATAACATACTTTCTTTGAAAAAACAGTTACATAAGCATTTAAATAATTTTGCATGCAAATTCATCTTTAAAAAACTCATCGTATTTTGGAAAACTATAAAAGTACAAAATATTTCCGGAATACTTCGTACCAAGTTATACGTCAAAAAATTAGCGTAGACCTTCGCTCAGAGTTTAAAAGCGGTTAAAAGCTTGACAAACAAATTTAAAGAATGACAAAAATCTTTTTTTATAACAACAGAAAGAGTAATAGAATAATGCAAAACTGTAATAAATACAAAACCTTCATAGACCACTTTACAACTAAATGGCTTCTGAATATGAAACAAACTTTTTTTCTACGTTGTACGTATAAGTTTTACTAATTCAATATTATATGTAAACTTTATGTCCATATGTATAGGTATATAAAATACAACCTAAACAGCAATACTAAAATTTGCCACCACGCAGTAAGAACAAATAAATAAAAAAAATCTGCACATAACGGATCACAATGTAATATACAGTGTTAATACAGCCTAGTTAAGTGAAACTGTTACAGAATATTATAAAAATGACTGTTAAATACTTACTTCTTTCCAAGCTTATAGTTAACATACCTAGAAATATGTAAATTTGGCTCTTAGCAGAGTTTCGCTTTGTGCTACCCGAATTTCCGGAAATGCTCGCCAGTTACTTTCTGTAACAACCAGAACTCACATTTCGCATTTCAAAGAATTCCATCAATCCGTTTCGGAGATATGGTAAAAAATGTAATATTGGTTGAATATTTTCTTTAAAATGGTCAAAAATGTAAAACAGGCCCGCTAAAAAGTGCAGTTCCCGAGGCCTTATATATCCCAAAAGCTGATCAATCCGTGCCATAGTCGAAATAAACTCGCACATAAAATTTCATCAAAATCGGTTCAATCGAACTTGAGATACACGCGTGCACAAACAGACCGACAAGTTGTTTATTTACACTCCCCTACTATGGAGAAGTGCATTCTCATCGAAAACTCCATATGCAAAAATTATTGGCATCACATAACCTACTTATTGTATACACAATACGGTCAGTAAAAATTGCGTCTATGTAGTGAATATTAAAGAAATAACAACCTCTTTGCTATTTTTAATAGCTACTGTTTAAGTTCCAAAAACTAAATTCTTACTTAATTTTGGAACCACTACAACCCAACTTTTAATAAAAAAATTTTATCGTTCCTATTATTATTAAAACTGGAAAATACATTACTTAAACATAAGCTACTTTGAATTAAGTCTTTAATACTTAATTAAAAAAAAAAGAAAATAAAAATACGTTGAATTTGATGCGCTTGTAATGATACAAAATGAAAACACAAACAATAATTTTTAAGTGTGAATCAAAATTTAATACGTGTTCTCCCGCTCGCTCGAGGTATACTTTCCTTTTTAAACTTTAGGTGGCGAAGTGGGTCAATATGGTACTAAAAACTTTTTAGTGACATATCACATATTGTGACTCAAAGCTACGTTGCAGAAACTTCCTTTATCCAATTTGTCACATTGTACTAAAGGTCGGTTTTGGTTACCATGATGTAGCGAAAAGTTGTAGTAGACATTTTAATTTTTATATTTACAAAATTCAGTATACGCAAGGGTTATCATGTTACTTTATTAGCAATTATTATAGATGGCTGAAATATTTCATAAATAACATAACAGCGTTTTAATAAGGAAGTTATATGAAATTGCTTCATAGATTTATACAGAAATAAAATAATAATAATAATAAAAAATTTTTTTCAAAATCGTTGTGTATAAACATATTTAATTTGCATGTTGTATGAATTTATTATTATTGTATGTTTAAACAACAGTCAAAAATATTTAAATTAAAAAAAAAATTAGAATCGTTTATTATAATTATAATTAGATTAAACAAATACATACATACATATATCAATTTATTTTTTAGCATCATTATTACGTTTTATTATATTATTAATAAATCTAAACTGTAAAAATTTTAGTTCATAAAAAACTTTGATGCTACCAATGATTGAACTTTTTCTTATACTGAAAGAACGGCAACCTTTTATATCAAAAAAATGTTTAATTCTTTTTTTGTTAAAAATAATTATTTCTGGTTGGCGCCTGTTTTTGGAAGTTTTATGGTCATATTTATCAGTAAAATTTTCCTCGAAGTGGAAAAATATTGAGAAATATCCGAGAAATGAATTTCTTAAAACCTATAATATTTATTTTGCAAAATATAATATTAGGTAGACATAACTTTTTCTAACATTTTATATTTTTAATTATTCATCTTAAGAGAAAAGAGTAGCTTTTTCAAAAAATTAAAATAAATTTTTGTGAATAAATATCTTTTTCTTTCATTTTATTACTATAAAAAACAATACTATTATACATAAGTATAAAAAATTTACATGTGTGTATAAAGTGCGAAAACCTACACAAAGACGAAACAGGAACGTTTATTTTACGAGTACGAGCACGTTATTTTGAAGCAGAAAGGCACTCCAAATCTGTTCCCCATTTTGATACCGGGCGGAGTACCCGGTGAGTAGCTGCTGAGTACACGCCGAGTAGCAATAACATCTTATTTTCTTAAAATACGATTTTTGTGTATTATTTCACTTCATTTTATTTTGCAAAATAAAATTTTAATCAGACAGTGTGACAGGAGTCAAATTTAGGGAAAACATTTTCTTCAAAGAAACATTCTAGGTATTTGTATGAAAATATTTATGAACGTTAGTCTGTTTTTATTTTATTGATTTTTTAGAGTTTAATACACGTTAGTGTGGTTTGCTCGGGAGTTTTTATTGGGATTTAACACTATTATTAGTACTGGTTTCGGATTAATTAAACTTAAAGTAAAGATTCTTTTGTTGGATAAATTTGTATATATGTATAATTAGTAATAACTATGTCAACTATGTTCCTTCTGTTTGCATATATGTACACATAATTTTTCATGCTATATAGCACTATGTCATAGTACATTATAGAATATAATATGTATGTATATGTAACGCATATGTTTTTACATGTTATGTACATAGTATATTCATAGTATTTATTCAAATTTTATCAATTAAAGAACAACAACTGAAAATTTATGTACATAGGTGTATTCATACATACATACATACATACATTTTATGTACTTGTTTGTATCTACAAAGCATTAAAATTAAATATTTAATGTCATCATTCAAAAAATCACTCATTTTTAAATTCATAATTCTCCTCAAACACAATGTTCGCCATAAGTGCTGTGTCTACATTTGTGAATTACTGTATATACATATGCATACATATGTGCATAAATAATGTATTCATACATATATTTCTTTCAATTCCATTCTTATTATTGTTATTAAGATATCAAACAATTACTTCAAAGTAAACGTCACAAAAGAATAAAAGAAATAAAAAAAACAGAAAAAACTCAAAAACAATGTACTTGAAATTCTCACAACCACATATGTATACGCATATGTGTGCATAAATTCAAACAGAGAAGAAACAGCAACAAAATCGAAATCATCGAATCATGAATACTTCCATATACATTTAAATCTACATATGTATATTTATAGCACACATATTATATCTATTGAAATTCGTGGCCGTTCACTATAATTGTATTTCAGTTAATATTTTACATTACTGTGTGTTTCAGATACACACTTTTGTACACGTACGTAGGGAAACCCGTATGTATATACATTCCTTTCTATATAAATAATCTTTCATCCATTATTATACACAAGCATACCTATATTATGCAAACCTATACTTATAAACACACACAAATATAATAATTTTTTGAGAGACGAGAATTGTATCGAAAAGGAAAATCCCAAAATTGATTTATGTGTTTACATTTTTTTTTAAATTGGAGTAAAATAAGAACAAATCAAAATAAAACAGCAACAAAAAAATAAAAACAAAAAAACAAGGCAAAAACAAAAAAAACGTGGGGAGAATAATTTGATGGTTAGTTTTCATACATTTTTAAGACTGACATACATACATACATACATATGTATTTTTTCTTTAATTTTAGTATTTTGTTCTTTTTTCAATACAATTTATATATGTATGCATGTATGTAAGTACCATTACTAAATATTTATGGAATATTTATTTTATATTTCTAATTCTATAGTTTAATAAATAAATAAATAAATACTTTGTTTCAAATTTAATAAGCAATACTTACCAAATTCTTAAACTTTTAACTTATTAAACTTTTTGTAAAAACTAATTATTGATGATTCTTTCTAATATGTTTACTCGTATATATTGAAGATAATAAATGCGTTACAAAAGATCTTTATTATTTATAATACCTTTATTATTCCTTTTTTTTTAAATTTCTTAAACATTAAATTGCTTATATATTTGACAATTTTGTTTTTAAAAATCAAAGAGTATAGTTAATTGTAGAATTATGTATTAGGATTATGTTGAAAAAGCTAAATTAATTATTGGAATATAGGTATATACGTCACCAAACCAAAGAATTATAAGTTTCACTTAAAAAGTTCATTTTATAATATACATATAGCAAAAGCAGCATAATTTTTAAAGCAAATTATAAACGAAAAAAAGTTCGATAATCGAAACAATTACGAATTTTCATTATAAACACATGAGTTCGACCACGTAGGTATATACACATAAATACTTAAATTTTAAAAAATTCAGGAAATTAATAAATTTGATAATTTTTTTTGCTTACAAAAAATCGGAAAAATAAAAAAGAAAACTAAAATTAAAATTATAAATTTTAATTTATTTCTTATTTCACGAAATATTTTATTGTATTCTAATCTAAATATATTTCTTTCCTTTTTTTCTTTTAGTTTTTATACGAATTTTTCGTCTTCTTTTATTAATATAAAAATAATTAAATTTTTTAGTCGTCTTGATCATCTTCTTTTACGTCGTGGTGACGATCTCATTATAATATTTGAAAAATTCTTGAAAATTTTGTGTATAATTTTTTTTATAAGGACTAATAAATTTTGTGCATAAAAATTTATTAAAATTTTTGCTAATATTGATGAATTATATTCATTTGCGTAATTATATCTATTAATTTTAGTATTAATTTCATTGAATTTCATTAAAATTGCGTTTCTAAAATCATAGTGAGCATTAGTGGTTATCATTTCCATAAAATTAATTCGTATTTACGTTATAGGTCTTATGAATTACAAATTTTAAGTGGTGTTGAAATTGAAATATTTTAAAAATTTCTTTTATGCTTCTTTTTTTTCTTATTTGTTATTTTATGTTTTCACTAATCATATTAAGTTTTGGTATATTAATTTGATTGTCATACAGAAATAATTTTTTTAGAGAATGTATTGCCGTCGGCTTTTTTCATTTTATTTATTAACACTATTTTATTTAGCTTAAATTTAGTGTCACATTTTCAAAACATTGTCACCCTCTTATACACATATCTACATACAAACATATATCATATTTTATATTTTTCTTTTATATTGCTGCTCTTTTTTTTACAAATGCTTTAATTCTTAATTGAACAATTTTTGTAATTTATGATTATTTACTTTAGAGAAACCATTTTTTTATTTGATGATTTTCTTGTTTTTTTTTTTTAAATTTTCAAGCTTTAAATTAGTTTTTGCTTTAAATTTAATAGCTAATTACTTAATTGGCGTAATTAAAACAATAATTGCACAATATGGAATAATAATATTTTTCTTTCACTATTATTAATTTTTTGACAAAAAATTTTAAATATTATGATTTATAACTAAAATAAAATATATTTCTATAAAATATGATTTCAGACATCACATCACTAAACCAATAAAACACTGCTACTACATATTTTATGAGAGATTTTCTGAAAGATACATTTGTTCTCTTTATGTTGATAGTGAATGAAAAATTGGATTTTCCCCTTTTTTTTAGTTCTTCTTATTTCAAATAATAAACATGGAAAAATGTACGCAAAATGAAATACGACCACGACGACGAAAATTATATGAAAAACAAAACACATAAATAAAAGGAAAAATGAGAAAATCTCCAACATGTTCTTTTCTCCGTAAAAGTAAGAATTTTCTTTGCAAAAAACATGCTGGAAAGAGAACAAGAGAGAAAGAAAGAGAGAATAAAAAAATCACAAGTACATTGTAGCAGAAATATAGTGCGTCAGAAGTCGGAACTAGAAGAACAAAAATTTCAAGCTTTAGTAAATAATTTACAATAAAAATATTAATTTTTTTTAAATCTGAATAGTTTACCAAAGTTAATATTTTTTTTATGTAATTGCATATTTTAATTAATAGCTTTAAGCTATTAATTAAAATATGCAATTACATAAAAAAAATATTGCAGTATAAAACTGCAAGCAGTGAATTTTGTAAAAAATTGGTACAGAATCTGGCTTCATAAATATATTTAAATACGTACAAATACGTAATAATTTAAAAATAGAAATATGACTTTCCAAAACGATTCCTGATTTTTAAAAACTCAATTTTATTGGGACTGTTCAAATTTTAATCTTTTAGCAGAGCTCTAGCTAGTTAGCAAAGCAGAGTTGGAACTGTTTGGCTGTATAAGCAATTTTTTGTAAAGAAATTTCTGAAATACTTCTGAATAAATTTGTTAGAAATATACATAAAATGATGAATTAGAATACATTCTTGAAGCAAAACGTGCTTCCTTCATATTGGAGTTGCCATATTCACTAATTGAGAATATGATAACAAAAAATATATATGAAACTATGTGATGTACATAAGAATGTTTGTGTATTTATGACGTACATTTATATAAAACACATATTAACACATAAGTAAAAGTTTTGTTCAAAACTTTATATTTTTATTTTGAATATTTTTATTTAGAAGTTTTGAAAAACAGACGGAGAGACAGATTCAAATAATTAATTTTCATAAAATTTTTTCAATTTTTTTGGAAATGTTCTGTAAACTGTTGATTTTTAATTTTAAGTATATAAAAATAGTTTGTTTGAATAGCTTTTTGTATGTTTGTTATAATTTCTTTTGTTTGTTAATTTAATAATTATTTGTTATATACGTGTGTATAAAAAAACTTATTCCAAAGTTTAAAATAAATTGTTTTTTACCAAGAATTTTTTATTCAGTTCTTATTTTTATTAAGTCAAGTAGATTATTGTTGGCTGTAAAATAGAATAAAACCACCCTAAGACATCCAACAAAGGCCATTTGTGTCTACTATAACAACACACGATCATTCTACTAATTATGAGTGTGCGTTTTTAATTTGAAATGTAAAAATAAATAAACAAAAGTTCAGTTTTTTTAATATGTATGTATGTATAGTAAACAAACAACATCTGTTTGATAATAAAAGTTTTACATCATCATGTTAGCATTATTTGGTATAAAAAAATGAACTTCTTTTACATATAACATCATTTTTTATGGAGTAGTTTTAAATATATTGAAAAATTGGAATATGAAACACATATGAGTTAAAAATTATTTGAAATTAGAAATATTTGTCGGGTTTGTTTGATTTTTGTTTCGAAAACTTTACGTGTGACTGCTCATTTCCAGTAAAATTGTTTTTAGTTAATTTACGTCACTTTTTTAAAAAAAGTTTAATTCATATTCGAAGATTTAAGACCATTTTAGCTAACGTATCACTTTTTAGAATATTATTAGCATTTAAAAAAAAAATCTGCCATGCAATTTTACACAGTGTGCTAATAAAAAAATTATTCACTAAAATTATTTTAATTTATTTTTAGTATATTTTAAGACATTCAGATTCTGTGAGATTTAAGATGTAGATACGTAAAGGAGAAAATAAGGCAGGACTTTTACATCAAACACTGATCATTGATTATGTTTGTCTCTTCTACATTTTTCATTAAAAAAAAGCTGAATGTGTAACATATAATTATGCGCATTATTTATTTTGACATCGAAATTGAAGCATTTCTTCAACTTCGATTTCCATTGCAAAATTTAAAAAGTTAACAATGAGCATTAAGCTCGGAACAGCTTTTATTCTACTTATATAACAGGATTTATAAAATATCTTTAATTTATTCATATTTTTTAATTAAAAATTCAACAGCTTTATTGAATGGGTGGAATATCATTAAGAAAAATAAAATTAATTGTTTTTATAATTTTTCATACATATTTACAAATTAAGAATAACAGTTTTTGTAACTTCATTTCAGTAAAAAAATTTTGTTTGCATTTGTAACGTCAAGTATTGATAATTTTGAAAATGTTTTGCAATCTTTCATTTTTACAAAATTATGCAATACCGATGAGAAAATATGATCATTTTAAAAATATCAATAAATATATTTAATGCGCACGTTTTCGTTCCAGTAAAAATACATACAATATGTGCCCATACTATTGTTTTGTTCCACAAATATTTTTTTCGCAGCTCTCAATTTTTAACTTTATTTCATTATGTAGTAATAAAATATTACAAGTTTTTGTGAGAATCAACATATAAATAGCTTCTTATAAAACAAAACACTAATATCCAGAGACTTGTATATAATATGCATATAATCTATTAGACTGAACATTTACATATCATTGTATTATATTTAGATGTTTTTGTATGTACAAATATAGACATTGAATACAAATCTGGTTACAATATTAAGTCTGCAATGAAATCGAAATTGTAAAGGCGTTTGTAGTTATGAAGGATGTTCTGTTATTTTCTTATTAGGTTTTTTAGCATTTTTGTTTTACAAAGTTAATATATGTACATATGTATGTATGTATGTTTTTACAATAAATAATTTTTAAAGTATTAGTGTGTTTTCTACTTTACTTTTTTAACTTCAATGTGGATATTTATTGTATAAATATGTTTGTATAGTAATTTTGTTGCATATAGAATCATATATATAGAGGTTCATACATAAATACGTATACTATTTCTCAATTTTCATGCGCAAATCAATTTAATAAAATGCTTTTATAAATTTTTATATTGTTAATACATTTTTTTCTGTTGTTTTTTTAAATACATATTTTCATTCTTTTACCTTTTTTCATATAGAAGTTTCTCTCATACTCCTGATGCATTAAGAAATCATTATGGTATTAGTTGCAAAAAAATATATGGGATACCTGTGGATAGCGCATCTTTCGCTATAATTTTGAAGACAGAATTTCATATTGAATTTTATATGTACATATTTACAATATTTTCGTACCTATGTATACATAATATTTATATATTATATTATACATATAAGAAGTAC